TGAAGCTACCTCTGCAGAAATGGTCTGATGGAGAAAAGGCACTCAGCGCAGCTCGGTACAAAAAGGCAACAATGGGACCAATATGCAAACAGCATGGATTGTACTGGAAATTTGACACAGGACCAGAAAACTCAAACAGGAAAGAAACCCTTCAGGTGCACCCTTTGCAAGAAGGCGTTTGCAGATTCATCACATCTTAAAATACACCAGAGAACACACACGGGAGAGAAACCCTTCAGATGCGCTCTGTGCGGGAAGTCCTTTGCACTGTCATCACAACTTAAATTACACCAGAGAACACACACGGGAGAGAAACCTTTAAAATGCACTGTCTGTGAGAAGTCATTTGCATGGGCATCAGGTCTTCAGATCCATCAGAGAACACACACAGGAGAGAAACCTTTCAAATGCACTGTCTGTGAGAAGGAATTTGCATGGGCATCAGGTCTTCAGATCCACCAGAGAACACACACAGGAGAGAAACCAAACAAGTGCAGTTTGTGTGGGAAGGCATTTTCAAGTTCATTTTATTTTAAAATACACCAGAGAATACACACAGGAGATAACCCCTTCAAGTGCAGTGTGTGTGAGAAGGAATTTTTACAGTCATCAAATCTTAAAATACACCAGAGAATACACACAAGAGATACCCCCTTCAAGTGCAGTGTGTGTGAGAAGGAATTTTCACAGTCATCACATCTTAAAATGCACCAGAGAACACACAGGAGAAAAACCTTTCAGGTGCACCCTTTGCGGGAAGACCTTTGCAGAGTCATCACATCTTAAAGAACACCAGAGAACACACACTGGAGAGAAACCTTTCGGGTGCATCCTTTGCGGGAAGCCCTTTGCAGAGTCATCACATCTTAAACAACACCAGAGAACACACACTGGAGAGAAACCTTTCAAGTGCAATGTGTGTGGGAAGGAATTTTCAGGTTCATCACCTCTTAAAAGACACCAGAGAACACACACAGGAGATAAACCCTTCAAGTGCACTCTGTGTGGTAAGGAGTTTGCACAGTCATCTCATCTTAAAAAACACCATAGAACGCACACAGTAGAGAAACAGTTCAAGTGCACTGTGTGTGAGAAGGCATTTGCACAGTCATCAGTTCTTCATCGACACGAGAGAACACACACAGGAGAGAAACCCTTCAAGTGCAGTGTGTGCAGGAATGCGTTTGCAGAGTTATCACATCTTAAAATACACCAGAGAACACACACGGGAGAGAAACCCTTCAAGGGTAGTGTGTGCAGGAAGGCATTTGCAGAGTCATCACATCTTCAAAGACACCAGAGAACACGCAGGCATCAGAAGATCCTCCAGGAGTGTAGTCTTAAATCGACTTGTGAAAGTCAAAGTGCTGCAATGAGCCCATCCCTCCTGAAAAAAGAACCAGAAGCAAATTCCAGCTTGGACACTATGAAATGTATCAAGGTGAAATTTGAAGAGGTGACAGTAAAGAGAGAAGAAGTGAAGGTGAAATGTGAAGATGAAGATTCAACTCCAAAATCGGACCTTCACATCAATGGAGGCAACGTGAAGCAGGAGGAGAATTCTGACTGTGAGGCAGAGCGAGGCACCTCCCAGCAGTTTGTGGAAGTGGAGGTGTGGGTGGACTTCTTAGACCAGGGGTCTGCAACCTTTAAGACATAAAGAGCCACTTGGACCCGTTTCCGAAGGAAAAAATAAACTGGGAGCCGCAAAACCATTGTGACATATAACACTGCATATATTGTTTCTTACCTTAATGCTATATACAGGATCGTGCAGTCAGCTGTCAATCTGAAGAAAAAAAGGACTTTTTCACTTAACAATGTAAAATATATTTTTGCAAATTAATAGCTAATTAAAATATTTGATTTACCTGGTTAATGGGATTTTTGCTCCTGAACCTCAGTGCACAGTGTCTGCACATCAGGGCTGTAAGACGTCACCTTCATTTTCACACAGGCTTGCAAGCTGTCATCTGTGAGGTGTGATCGATGTTTGTCTTTAATATAGTTCATGTTGGAGAAGACCTGCTCACATACATATGTTGAGCCGAAGATCGACAGGACTCCAAATGCATACTTTTTCATGTTTATATAAGTGTTGGGGATGGCATTCCATGTTTCGAATACAAGTTTGTCCTGTTTGGGAAGGTTTTCAATATCACTCCATTTATGATTCTGAGCCAGAATGGCCTTCTGATGGGCAACATCCTCAAGAGTAGCGGTCAAGCATTTGAACTTGGACACCCATATATCTTTGTCGGCTATATCAGCCAGTTCCATCTCAAGATCAGGTTGACTTACATCTGCAAATAAAGTCATATTCAATAGGGATGGATCGATCGCCAGGGGAGTGACAGGGAAGGATGTGGTTTTTTCCTCTCTGAACTCACAGAATCGTTTCCCAAACGAACGTTGCATTGCGGTGATTGCAGATTTGAAATATTCCAAATTTATCGTATCATGACTTTGTTTGAACTCTCTCAAAGAGGGAAAGTGAGGCAGTGTACCTCTCTGTAAATCTTTGACAAACACTGTCAACTTGTGCTCGAATGCCAAAACCTCCTCCAGCATGTGCAGGGCTGTGCCTCCTTTCCCCTGAAGGGTTGTATTTAGCGTGTTTAGATGTGCTGTCATGTCTACCATAAAATGTAATTTTTCCAGCCACTCTGGCTGTTCCAGCTCAGCAAAGGTGAGCTCTTTGCTGCCCAGGAAGGTTTTTACTTCTTCCAAACATGTGACAAAGCGTTTTAGCACCTCGCCTCTTGACAGCCACCGGACCTTGTTGTGGAGCAGGAGGTCAGAATATATGCTTTCCACCTCATCCAATAGCAAACGGAACTGGCGGTGGTTTAAACCCTTTGCCATTATCTTATTAACAATCTGAATGACCACATCCATCACTTTTGTGCATTCCAGGGGAAATGTTTGAGCACACAATGCCTCTTGGTGCAGGATGCAATGAAATTACAGCAGCGTTCTACCCAGCGCCTTCTGCAGTAGAGCCACAAAGCCCTTCTGTGCTCCTCTCATGCTCGGTGCCCCATCAGTAGCCACTGAGACCAGGTGGTTGGTGTTTATTTTTTTAGCACTTAAAAAGTCCAGGACAGCCTTACAGATATCCTCACCCCTTGTTTGGTCTTTTAGTGGTATCAGCTCAATCAGTTCTTCCTGTGGCCCAAAAGAGTTCACATATCGGCAGAACAGCGCTATTTGTTCAATATCACCTTTATCTTTGGACTCATCACAGGCGATGGAGTACGCCACAGCTGAATTAATGTCTTGAATTTGCTGTTTGCTAATGTTTTCTGCCATTTTTAGGGTTCTGTCTTTGACAGTCTTCGCAGAGAGAGGCATGTCTTTGATTTTCTGCACAATTTCATTCTTGTTTTTGAAGTCCATTTATAGATGTTCCGAAATATTAATGAATGCTTCTTTTATATACTCTCCATCTGTGAAGGGCTTCCCGTGCTTGACTATTTCCTGAGCGGCCACAAAACTAGCAGTCTCGTCAGTAGAGAATGCAAATGATTCTGTCCATGTATCATTAAACACTCTGTTTTCTTCAGAAATTTTTCTCTTCTTGCCTTTATCCATGGCTGGCCTACCGGGGGGTCGAAAACAGCGACGTAATTAGAAATCACAGGGCCCCATAGCAAAATTTGCTATGCCCACCCCCCTCAAGCTCCAGCCACCCCCCTCCCCTTTCCGTGCAACCTACTCCAACCAAAAAAAAGAATGCAATTGAACAGCACATTACACAGCCAATAACAATGCCCCCAATGTGCCATAAAAAACTAATTACTGCCCCAAAGTGCCAGAGAAAATGACCAATGCCCCCAAATGACCAATGCCCCAAAATGCCATAGAAAATTAATCAGGGCCCCAGTGTACCATAAATCATAATCAGTGCCTGATGTAAATAATAATTAATAATGAGGGCCCAATGTCATCCTCGTCATTATAAAAATAACTTTATTTTTTGGTTTGACCCCCTCAGAATTACTCCTCATAGAAATAAACGTTAAATTAACAAGTTACCTTTTTTGTGTGTGTGTGTTCTTCACTCCCGCGCTGTGCTGGCTCAGGCTGGCTCCGGCTCCGTCACTCCTCCCCCTCGCACGCAGGCGGCCTGACGTCACCAGGCACTGTACTAGCGGCGAGGCGGAGCTAAGGAGCGGAGCTGATGGAGGCAGCCATGTTGCGTTACCTAGCAACGGCAACGTTATTGCCTGTCACCGGGCGGGCAGTGTGGAGCGGAGCGGCTACCTGTCAGCAGCGGCAACGCCAGAGCAGGTGTCACAGTGCGCCTCCTCCCCTCGCTAGCATCCGCCCCGGAGCCGCGGCCAAGGTTCAAAAGAGCCGCATGCGGCTCCGGAGCCGTGGGTTGCCGACACCCGGTCTAGATGATAGATTCCCAGTACGCCGACTCAATGACATAAGAATTGCTACAGTGGACATAAAAAGCTGGCCGTATAGGCAGCAGCTGAAAAAGCAGAATACAGTCGACATGAAAGGCTGGCAGTACACTGAACTAAACCGAATGCGCATGACTTGGCAGGGTCGCCCCCCCCACCCACAATTGGCGTGAGTTGGTATGGCCGATGTGTTTTAACATCTTAACACCGGTTTTGTTGCCAAAAAAGGGGGAGACCTCTTATTATATTTTGATACTGGAAAAGGAGGTCCATGAAGTAGTGAGCCAGATGAAGACAAATTAAACTTCTGCAGAGAATTAAATCAAATGCAATCAGACGAGGGCAAGAGGCAAGGCCCCGCATGGGTAGGCCCCGCGTTGTAATGTTCCGATCTGGACATCGATTCCATACTCGCTGCTCCTCAATTGATATCCCTACGAGAGAGAGACGGAGCGAGGCTCTACCTGGGTGAACAACAACAACCACCACGATGTGAACTCACCTCGGATCTCAGTGAGAGCGCGCGCGGTGCAGCAGCTTCCGGATATAAATAAAAATTTTCTTCTTTTATTATTTCCCTTCTAAGTGACTTTACCGAAAGAACCAAGAATATGAATCCCTGCAGTCACGAAAGCTTTAAATCCAAAACCAGGTAAAGTCTTAACTTGCTATGATGTTTCCATCCTTTCTACCGATGTTAACTGACTCTCTGATTTTTTTCGATTTAAAGCTTTCGTGACTGCGGGGATTCATCTTCTTGGTTCTTTCGGTAAAGTCACGTAGAAGGGAAGTAATAAAATAATAAAAATAAAACATAATAAAACAATTCTCACGACGTTTCGGCCACAACGCAAGAAGCCGTCCTCAGGTGAAAACCAGGTCCGTCGAGGCGACAGAGTCTGAATGAAACAGCACACGAGCTTGGAGCATATATATAAGCTGGGCGCATTGACAAAGGAATTTGCATATCAAAATGAATTTAGCATATTTATGGGAAATGCAGGAATGTGATTAGTACTGCATATGCATGTGCATTATGCAGGATTAACAGCATCAAAGGGAGCTGCAGTTACTGCTGCTGCAGCAGTTGCTACTGCTGCAGTTGCTGCTGCTGCACTTGCTGCTGCTGCTGCACTTGCTGCTGCTGCTGCACTTGCTGCTGCTGCTGCTGCACTTGCTGCTGCTGCTGCACTTGCTGCTGCTGCTGCACTTGCTGCTGCTGCTGCACTTGCTGCTGCTGCAGTTGCTGCCTTATCCATTTTAATATAACACTATGTATTATTCTACCCACCCTAATGTGTATCATACTGCTATATGTTTACTGTACAATTACGACACCATACATTACTCTGCACACTGCACCATGCCAGTGAGTGGAACGCGGTCTGAAAGTCACCGTAAACGTGAACACAATCAGTTAAGATCCGAAATGGTTTATTACGTCCTTCCAATGATTGCTAAGCCAGAATCCATCTTCTCGGTTGAAATTGTCTCTGTGTTTGTATATGTGGATCGCCTCATGAACGAATCTCTCATGATAGCCAGATGGCTTGCAGAGAACCTCTGTCTTGGAGAAGTCAATGTCATGTGAGCCCACTGAATTGTAACAGTGATCTGCCACGGCTGAGGTGTTTGTCCTACCGTGTTTCAGGTCTGCCTTATGTTCACGGATGCGGTCCGAGACATGTCGTTTGGTTTCTCCAATGTAACTGCTACCACAGAGGCAACTTAGTTTGTAGACGCCAGGGTACTGTATGTCTGGAACCACATCTTTTACAGACGGGACCAGATCACGGATTTTATGTACTGTGTTGAATCGGACCTGGATCTTGTGTTTAATCAGGATTTTGGAGATCTTTTTTGTGACCCCAGCAATGTAGGGTAAGGTGATGGTCTTGAAAGGAGCCTTTCAAGACCATCACCTTACCCTACATTGCTGGGGTCACAAAAAAGATCTCCAAAATCCTGATTAAACACAAGATCCAGGTCCGATTCAACACAGTACATAAAATCCGTGATCTGGTCCCGTCTGTAAAAGATGTGGTTCCAGACATACAGTACCCTGGCGTCTACAAACTAAGTTGCCTCTGTGGTAGCAGTTACATTGGAGAAACCAAACGACATGTCTCGGACCGCATCCGTGAACATAAGGCAGACCTGAAACACGGTAGGACAAACACCTCAGCCGTGGCAGATCACTGTTACAATTCAGTGGGCTCACATGACATTGACTTCTCCAAGACAAAGGTTCTCTGCAAGCCATCTGGCTATCATGAGAGATTCGTTCATGAGGCGATCCACATATACAAACACAGAGACAATTTCAACCGAGAAGATGGATTCTGGCTTAGCAATCATTGGAAGGACGTAATAAACCATTTCGGATCTTAACTGATTGTGTTCACGTTTACGGTGACTTTCAGACCGCATTCCACTCACTGGCATGGTGCAGTGTGCAGAGTAATGTATGGTGTCGTAATTGTACAGTAAACATATAGCAGTATGATACACATTAGGGTGGGTAGAATAATACATACACTGTAAAAACCGAGACTGGGGTTAATTAATGTTTAGTAAATATATAGGAGTAGCCTATACATAAAAATAATGACTATGTGTAGTTTAGAATCACATTGAGCTGAATTCAACACCTTTCTATTAGTTATTAATTGTATTTTACTCAGTTTTGTTCAAATAAAATCAGCCATCAATAACTCAGTAGAATTTAATTGTATTTTATCAGGAAAGTCAAAAATGCCAAAAATTGATTAATTTTACTAACCGGGAGGTTTTTGAATTTAATAACGTTACACTCCCGCCCAAACTCGAGGCATTTTTTCGCGCCACGTGCATGTCAACCATCTTCTTCCACAGACACGTTTCAGGGACCGCCGTTCTCCCAAAGGTAAGACATGTTTTTATTATTTTAGCGAACAATTTTTTAACAAAGGTGTGGTAGCAGTTGAACATTGTTTTATGTTACTGCATGTTACCAGCATGCCAATTTAACTGGCTGTAACGTATATCAGAATTAACTAGCACAACGTTAGGCCTTTGGAAGTCAGTCTGATTTGACTAAAAGCACGAGACTATAATTTTTGTTCCGCACACGAAAAAGTAACGTGCGTGATTAAAACTAGACTATATTTATTCGGATCACAGCGTGTACCGAACCAAAAGTCCTGTACCTGCCGTTACACCTCCAGTATATTATATATTGGTGTTGATGTACGTACAGTATTCTAACGTTAGCTAGCTTGCCACCAGTCAGTTAGCGTCACCCTTACGTTGTGGCGAGCTTGTTATGTAGTTGCTAGCTAGCTAGATGATGTGAGTGACAAGAAGTTGATGTGCTAAATGTGAGCATGAAAATTTGAATATTAAAAATAATAAAGAATTATCTTGTAAATGCGATTCTATTGTCCTCATGTGATTAGAGACCTGGTCGCCTTGCATCTGATACATGGACCTTTTTCTGCCTCAGGTTTTTGCTTATGGAATGGAAGTGTAAGATCTGCAAGTCTTTGTCTGCCACAAAAGGAAATCTACTAAAGCATTACAGACAACACGCAATATTTGGTCGTGGCCAATCCCAGCCATGCCTATATGACAGTTGCCCTTGCACATTTAAAACGCAGAGTGCCCTTCGTTACACATTTGTCCAGATACCATTCAGATGAAGAAAGTCTACGGTCAGGAAACATCTCTGTTTTTAAGTGTTTAGTTTGCAATGCTTTTTGTTCTATAGAGAAGGACTACTTTCAGCATATTGGAAATCATCTGAAGAGCCACGAAACTGTCTTTTGTGTATTTGAAGGATGCAGCTTTCAGACAAATATATACAATACATTTCTAAAACACAAAAGCAAAAGACACAAATCCTATTCTTTGAGTGATTTTAAGAAAGATGTGTATGAGAGTCGCCATAATCAGACTGTTGACCATTCTGATTTACCAGAGGCCAATGATGGTGAGGGCACTAGTTTAGATTGTGATCAGGAAAGTGCATCATACATAGTTCTTCAAATTGGCTTACTTCTGCTGAAGCTAGAAACCATCTATAATGCCTCAGTGAAGTGCATTGATGCCTTGGTTGAAGACCTTCAGTTCATTTCATCTTCAGTATCAGTTGCAGTTGTTAGGAACATACTAGATTCAACATTGAAGGTGAATAAATGTATTGTTGACCAGGCCATCGTAACTGAATTGTCAGCAGTTGTGCAACTTCCATCCCATTAGTACAGCACTTGGAGCAGGTGGTCCACTTGGTTCGGCTTTTAAGAGAAGAAAGTATTTTAAGGTGCATTTCCAGTGTGTTGATAGCGTTGAATATATTATTGATACTGAAAAGAACAAGACCTTTCAATATGTGCCTATTCTCCAGACTTTGCAGGAAGTCTTGAAGAATGAAGACATTGCAGAAATAATTTTATCCAGAAAATCAAATAGTACTGGATATATTAAGTCAATTTTTGATGGAAAATCCTTCAAGCAAAATGTATTTTATGCTGGGGAAGAAACAAGACTGTCTATAATCCTTTACGTTGACGACTTTGAAGTGTGTAACCCACTAGGAACTTCGAGAAAAAAAACACAAAATAACAGCTGTTTATTGGGTTTTGGCAAATGTTCCAACAAAGTTGCAATCTGCATTAACGTCAATACACCTAGCTTTACTTTGCAAAGCTGTTGATGTCAAACAGTTTGAATACAGAGCAGTTTTGGAACCACTCTTGAAGGATCTTGTCATTCTAGAACAGGAAGGGATTTTCATTTCCAGTGTTGGAAAAAAACATTAAAGGGACAGTACATTGTGTTGTAGCTGACAATCTCGATGCACATTCTATCAGTGGACTAGTTGAATGTTTCACGGGGCCGTACATCTGTAGATTTTGTCTTGGACATTCTTCAGAGTACCAGACACACGAAGTGCGGACCGGAGTGTTTCCACCTCGGACAAAGAAGGAACATAGTTTGCATGTGCAAACTGAGAGAAAATCCAAATGTTACTCATTGCTTTGGCTTAAAGCGGTCGTGTCCATTGACTGATAAATTAAATCACTTTCATTTTGAGTCTGGGTACCCACCAGATGTACTACATGACCTTTTGGAAGGCATAGTCCCAAGGGAACTAGCATTGTGTTTTCAGATTTTCACCAAGAAGAAGTACTTCAGTTTGACTGAGCTTAACGAGTTAATAACTGAGTCTGACTGTCAAAGTTCTGCGTTATAGGCCTATACATCTGATAGGCTATCAGAGAATGCACTGATTTGTTATTAAAAGCTATCTTTATTTTTGTTTAATGTTTCTTGGGTGTTCTAACATTGTGCTTTCTTCTGATGTGACGCTGACCTAGGCCATTGCAAGTGTTTGTTCTAAAGGAATAGATGTAAGATGCATAGAACATCTGTAGGCTGTGCTAGTTTACTTGTTAGAAAGCCATGCTTGTACTGTAATTATGCATGTTAAAAAAGATAGGTCCACCCGGATTGTGGATTATGGCTACTAGTATAAGTACAGGGAATGCAAGTCAATACCACGTGATGTTTTAATCTCTTTTAGCTGTTTGAAAAACATATTGGCGCTTAGGATTTCAATTTACGCATATAAAAAAGAAATAATATGAAAGTTTTTTTACAGATTTTTTTTAAAACATTGTCGTAATTTAAATGTGCTAAAAAGACTAAACCTTGAATCACATCCAAAAAAGTAATCTGTGCCTGTAATGCCCACAAATTATAAATACCTCCAGCATTGTATCCCTATTGTACACATACATGATTTCTGTCTTTGTTTTGTACTTGTAATATGTTGGATAAACATGTTGAGACAAAATTGCACGAATAAATGTTAACCTGCTGTTCCTTTTCATGGTTATCTTTTTCATGGTGATCGGTTGACTTAACGTAAGTGAATTGTGGCACCACGAAGGCATGATATTGGGTGGATTAAAAATAGAAAAGTTATGGCAATCAGACATTCAATATAAGTATTTTATTTAGTAAATCCAAATAATTTTGATCCAGATATTTAGTAAGCTTATATCAATTTCACCCAGACAATTAGTAAATGTAAATCAATTTCACCCAGATCATTAATACATATTAATCAGATTCCACCAGATATTTAGTAAATCTAAATTACCATTGCTCAGATATTAAGTAAATATAAATCACTTTTCCTTGTAAAATCTATTTGGATTTACACAATTTTTTTTAGGCTATATAACTCATCATTTGGAATCATATTACTAAATCCAACACATTTTAACTGTTGCTTTTATTACCATGTACTTATTTTTTATTATTATTTTTTAGTTAATTTATTCAACACTTTTTATTCAAAGTTGTAGTGCTTAAAATCTACTCAATTATATTACGTGTCACTTTGTTGCCATAATTTTTTTAAGTAACAATGTGTCACATTTTTTACAGTGTAGTGTTATATTAAAATGAATAAGGCAGCAACTGCAGCAGCAGCAAGTGCAGCAGCAGCAGCAAGTGCAGCAGCAGCAGCAAGTGCAGCAGCAGCAGCAAGTGCAGCAGCAGCAGCAGCAGCAACTGCAGCAGCAGCAACTGCTGCAGCAGCAGTAACTGCAGCTCCCTTTGATGCTGTTAATCCTGCATAATGCACATGCATATGCAGTACTAATCACATTCCTGCATTTCCCATAAATATGCTAAATTCCTTTTGATATGCAAATTCCTTTGTCAATGCGCCCAGCTTATATATATGCTCCAAGCTCGTGTGCTGTTTCATTCAGACTCTGTCGCCTCGACGGACCTGGTTTTCACCTGAGGACGGCTGCTTGCGTTGTGGCCGAAACGTCGTGAGAATTGTTTTATTATGTTTTATCTTTATTATTTTATTACTTCCCTTCTACGTGACTTTACCGAAAGAACCAAGAAGATGACTCTCTGATGTCTTTGTATTGACAGGCTGGGTGTCCACTGCCCCAGCCTTTGTGGTTGGACTATCTCTAGCTCCACCCACCTACCTTGATGCTCCCATCTCAGGACAGGCTAATCTCTCACAATACAAAGGCCACTGCCCCAGCCATTTACATGCTAATCTCTCACAATACAAATGTAATGCGAGCGTAATGAGACAGGCTTATGTCCAGTGATGAGCCGTGGATGCTGAACCCGTCGCAATGAACTAGCGACGGTATTTATGAATAAATTATGTTAATGAACGCAAGTGAGTGTGTGTAGCTGTGCCCAAATAAGGATTTTTACTCGAACCGAAATCGACAGTGACCAACCAGACGTGACGTCCAGGGGGGTTGGGGGAGGGGGTGAATACCTTGGTGACATGACGTCCCTAGCGAGGTACACCTCCTTCAGGCGTCTCTCACGATGAGGTAATGCGGAGTTGTGACGTCAGAGAGCAGGGGTTTCAGTTTTCAGTGTCAGTTTCATTTATTTGGTACGTATAGCCCTGTGAGCCATTCGGCTCTTGAATCGGGTGCAACCGCAACAAACAAAAAACAAAAACACGAACAAGTAAACATCTTAAAGTGACTATGCGCAAACAGAAAAATCCAGGAAAAAACTGAAAAATCTTCCAGAAAAAGCACATTACACCAACGCTGTGTGCAAAAATCCCAGTGGGATGCAAGTCAAACAACAACAACCACAAGACAACTTAGATTAAAGCCATCAGTTTAACTCCGTACTACAACAAACAAACATGGCCAAACCAAAAAACGTTTCGAAATCACCAAAATAAAGCCGTAAAAGCAATGTAACAGTGATCATAGGAACTGTGACCGAAATTTCACAATAATCGACATAAACAACATGTACTACCAAACCCTATAGCCATAGCTGGCTGCATGAGTAACTCCACAACAGCAGGAGTATCAACATTTTTCAATGCACCTTTAAAGATCAGCACACTAAATAAAACACAAGATCATACTTTGCAGCGGTCATCTGGAGCAAAACATTTGATTTTAGGCCACTGAATAGCAGTGGCAGCTAGGGGTGTACAACTCCTCTCGAGCACTTTTGAGTGAAGATTTCATAGGTAGTGATTCAAGTTGCAGTTTATTGGCAATAGCATTCCAGACCCTGGGGGCATCAATAACAAAGGCCTTCCTCCAGTATTTGTACGGCAATAAGGAATGAGAAGCTGGTTAATGAGTGAAGACCTTAGGTCAAATTTGTTGTTTGAAACAGAGAGGAGATCCAGCAGGTAGTCTGCGGATTTTTTTTGTAAGTACATCGTGAATAAATCAGATCTGATGCACAAGACGTCGAACATTGAGAGATGTTAAGTTTGACCCAATGTAGAGATCACAGTGGTGGGTCCTTTATGGGCAGTTCAATGCAAATCTTAAGGCCGAGTGATAAATTGAGTCAAGCTTCTTCAGTACAGTACTGTGGGGCTGATTTATATACGATGTCACAGTAATCAAGTAGAGGCAGTATGGTAACTTTTATCAATTCCAAACGGAACATAGGGGGGAAGCAGTGCTTGTGTCGATACAGAAAACCAATTTTTATTTTTGTCTTTTTACCAATATAATCAATGTGATCTTCAAAATTAAGTTTTGAATCAAGGATGACCCCAAGATACGTATAGATCTTGACTTGCTCTATTTTATCATTACAGTATCTAAGGAATGTAATTGGGGGAAAATAACTTCCTGCTTTAGTCCTGGTGAAAAGCATAGCACTTTGGTTTTGGAGGTATTCAGGACTAGTTTAAGAGCAACTAGCTGATGTTGTAATTTGTTGAAATCACGTACCTGTGGGTGGGGGGGGGGGGGGTCAGACATTTGTGACGATGTGTGATGGGGGGGTTTGAGAAATGCGACGTCACATCAAAATGCGCAATTTTTTAATAAATATATAATTGTTATTACAACACTAATTGTGAAAACAACACTCCTACAACATCAGAGTGCAGCCCCACATTAAATACGCACTACAATGACAATAGTTTAAAGCGATTTGAAGCATGTTTTATTTTCAAAATGGAAATATGGTTTTGGGGGTGGGGGGCAGAGCTTAGTGGCGTCATATTTGAGGGGGGTTTGACTTTTTGTGACGCCATGTGACAAGGTGGGGGGGGGGTCAAAATCGTGGGCAGGGCTAAAGATGGTATTTGCATGGACAGTCATACCTCGGTATACGACCGCTTTGAAATACGTCGAATTTAGTGTACATTGTGTTTTGACGAGAGAAAAAATGTCTTGGGATACGACGTCTTGCTAGAACTTGTATGGGTCGGGATGAGTCACCGCGTACCCGCGTTTTCCGCGTTCACGACTGAAACAAAGCGCCGCTTGTAACAGTATTGTGTGGAATGACCAAACAATGTCGCACTTCAGGAACATTCTTAGAAGAAGGCAAAAACAAACTTCAATGGACAGGTTTTTAGTAAAACTCAAACCTGGTGACCCTCAACCAGGTCCAAGTCAAGAAAAAAGACAGAAAATAGATGGAAAAAAAACCCAGAATGTCAGCTTCCTGAAGTTTTAAAATATAATTTCGTATACTCTGGAACGGATTTTTTCTTTTCCCTTTATTTCTTATGGGAAAAATCGTTTGGTTTACGTCCTTTTCGGTATAAGTCCTAACTTCTGGAACGAATTAACGACGTATGCCGAGGTACCACTGTAAATAAAAGATGGGAGGGCGCCGTGAGGCCGTGGCTTTACCAAAAGACCCATAGAATGTATTCCTGCAGTCACGACAGCTTTAAGTCAAGATTTAAATAAACTTAAACTCTAAACCCGCTCTCTGACGTCACCACTGCATTGCGTCATCGGCGTCAGACGCGAGGGGGAGGTGTGCCCCGCAAGTGACGTCATGTCACCTGCTGCTGTCGCGTGATGTCACGAGACACCAGGAAGCTGCCGATCCGCGCGCGCGCTCACTGAGATCCGAGGTGAGAAATTCACATCGTGGTGGTTGTTGTCGTGGTGGTTGTTGTTGTTGTTTACTCAGGTAGAGCCCCGCTCCTTCTCTCTCGTAGAGATTTCAATTGAAGAGCAGCGAGTATGGAATCGATGTCCAGGTTGGAACATTACAACGCGGGGCCTTGCCTCCTGCCCTCGCCTGATTGCATTTGCTTTCATTCTCTGCTTAAGTTTAATTTGTCTTCATCTGGCTCACTACTTTGAAACTTTGTTTCTTTTAAGTATTTCGGTTTTTTTCTCTTACCAGGCCAGGCCCACTTCAGCTGCTATACTGCTCTTGTTTTCAGAAGCGACCTGCCGACAACAAAGTGGCTTATCAACGTGTGGAAATGTATCTCAGTCAAATACTCTAAACGCGTGGTGATGTTGACTCTAAATGTGCAGGGAAAACCCGGAGGATCCGGAGGAAAAACCACGCGACCAAGGGGAGAGAGACACGCAAACTCCAAATATACATCCGTAATACAGGTTTGTTTGGGTTAGATCGTCTAACTATATAAATGTGTCGTTAAACCCGCCACCACCCGACACTGCCAACTAGTAACGGTTGGTCACATAAACAGCACGTGGCCAATTCGTCACTAGTGCAGCACTACACCGGTTGTGTGTTGGAGAGCCAAGCCACAACATTTACAATCTGACTACGACGTTTCGCCAGTAATTAAAACCAGCTTCATCAGGCGACAACCAAATGTTGTGCCTTGGCTCTGGGAATATAAATCGGCTCATTGGGATTATAGCTCAGCTTGCTAACCGTTGCGCTACCGCTCCCCATTCATGCACAAACATCGAAATGATAGTATTCAATACTAGTAAGTTACCTGGCTTTGCATCGGGTCTCGATAATCAAACATTAAGAGTAATGTATTGCTATGCTGGCTTTATTAGAATTATTTAATTCTGCCAATGAAGTCTGTAAATGTGTGTATATTGTTTC